GGGAACCACAGTCAAAGGATTGCGAAGGTATTCTCGGGGATAAATTCGCTCAAGATTGTGTAAGTACATAAAAAATTCAATATTGTATACCAAAGTCATAAAAAGTTTAGGTACACCAATGCTTAATGATTAATTCAAATTAACAATTTAAATATTCTAGTTTAATACAATAACAACCAATAATCTACGATCTACCCTCAAGTGGAATTGACGAGTTACAAACCTGATACTGCATGCTAGAGTATCTATAATATTTTATCATGTACGTAGAGTATTAGTATTAGTAAGACTTAATAATTTTAGGTTTTTTAAACTCTGTGGTACGAGTTTATTTATTTATTTAAAAGTTACCGGTAGAAAATTAAACACACACTATGTGTAATATACTATACTTACTGTGCTAATTTCGCATTATATTATAATATACCCATTTACATATCATAATATATGATATATACCATACCTATACCTATAAATAATTTATGTATTTCATTTCTTAGTTATCAATTATTACTTATTTGTGGCATCAGTTTGTATTTTATTTAGGCATATAATTTAATATGTATGTATTTGTACGTGTTTTGAATCATTTGTTATGGACATTTCCTATTAATATGTAATTAATACAATTGAATTATTATCTTTGTATTTGGCTGTTCTCATTTGAAATTTCTTAGTAAGATTTGTTTTGTTCTCAAGAGTACAAAATATTATCTTGTTTCGTTTTACAATATACAGTTACCTAACATAAGTATAACGATCACATTTAGTACAATAGCATATTTGGTTCAAACGATGAATAATATTGTTCGGTCTTCTGCATAATATAAACACAATAATGTATGTATTTATTATGCATACATTCATTCAAATTTCGTGTAAATTCCGTGTATAGTGTATATAGTATGTTACGTACATAATTACTTTTAAAGTATGATTTTGCAAGATGGTGGTGAATGGAAAAAAAACAGCCAAATAAGACGAGCCGTGTGAAACGAACATTTTCGGAATATAAAAATGGTTGCAAAAGGTACTTACCTACATTAAAATGTTAAATTTTAAATTGATCAAAATGTCACGTTAGAAAATAGTAGTACCTATAAATATGTCGACACATAGAATAATATTAAACGTTTTATTCAAAACTCATTAGTTTTTTTTTTATACTGTTTAAGAACTTGCTCTAACAATAAACAGTTTTGATAGTACAAAAATAAAAACAAAATACTCCCTTGTTATTTTATTGAGAAGGTACCTACTATTGAGAGAATTGAGTATGGACACAATAATACTATGCATTTAAATAGATTCCTAAATTTTGTTTAGAAATATTGTTTAAAAAATGAATTATATATACTTTAGTGGTTTCTTATTGTCGTAAAATATTCCAATTATTTCTCAAATCACCGCGAGTTGAATGAAATTCAAGGAGTTATAAAAACCCATTGTGATGATACGCATTTTATTATTGTTGTTAATATTGTGATTTAATGACGTACAAACAACTTTTGTTTTTTACTATCATAATTGGATATCTATTTACAATTCAATTAATACATCGTGTAAACGGTATAATTATTATTCAACAATACAAAGATTTTAATCAATTTAACAGTACAACTTTATTTACATGCACAGTTGAAAACAAAATAATATTATATTATAACTGATTGATATTGTTAGGTAATATATTAGATATGGACATGGTTTATTGTTACAATATACAGTATGATCATTTTTTTTAGGGAACTTGGCTACACGTCGGTTTCCCACGCGTTTTGCTTCGTTTTTTTTTTACTCCATCGCAGCCATCACGAGGCATGTCTGTCGACGTAATATTCCGCCGCCTAAATTAATAATATTATAATATATTATAACCGTTATGGGCATAAACGCGGCGTTTTCCGTCACCGGTGTAACCCAATCGGAATCGGGAAAAACGAGTGAAAGAAAGAACATTTGCGTTTTTTACAACTGCGCGGTGTTCCGACGGAAAACTTGGGGTGGTCGAGTTTTCCATCACGGATCACAGATATAGTTGTGTATATTAGCCACTCGAATAAAAAACAACGAACGATGAATCCGTCGGAAAACTCGGCGTACGAAACTCGTCGGAAAACGCTATATGTATGGCCCCGGCCCTGGTGTTTCTCGGCCGGATTACGTTGGATTAAATCGGGAATTTTTTTTTTCACAAGTTATAGGGACGGTCACCCGAACACTGCACATTATCTGAATTAAAAATTCACCTATAGTGAGAGGAGTTTAACATATTTTAATCGTAAATAATTTCAATGTAACGCAATCTGGCAGAGAAATTTAATTACCAATTGATAAAATGATCACACTTTATAAAACTGATACATTTAATATTTTATCATACATTATTAATTATTATTTAGTACTAATTACAACACTTTACATTAAATACAAGTACATTTACAGAGACAAATCGATGTTAAAACAATATTACTATACGTTTAGTGGTAACATACTCAGTTGATTAAATGATAATTATTATTGCATATACTTAGGAAGTAAAATAATAAAACAGTTGTACAACTAAAACAGTATAAAGCCAAACTGGGAAACTTAGGCAAAATCATATTTTATTTTTTGGGTCTTACTATTATCAGTCTGTTATTACTTCTTAATCTTTACTCAATTATATTTAAATATTTTCTCCACAACATTCTTAACAAAATAAAAATAGTTTGGAGTCTTTGAGATTCTTCATTTCTACTTGATAAGTACGCTTTATTTGTGTAGTACCATTGTCTAATTATACTGTAAAAATACTCGATACTATACGATACCACTTATAATATTGAAAAATTTGACATTTAATATTCTTATAGGACTGATTAAGACACATGTTGTTGTAACATGAAAAAGTTAAATAAATGGATTAACTGTCTCTTAATTTTTAATATAATTTTAAAACTGCCTCAAGTTACCCCTTCTAACCTCATCCTATCCTGTTTGACGGTACCTGACTAGGAGAAAACTAAAAAAAAAAATATCAATTGACTTTTAGGTTGTCTTAATAATTTTAATATGACAAATTAAAATAAATATGTTTAAAAAAGTCAAAAGAACTAAATACATACGTGAGCAAAACTTGACGTAGGTAATAATTCGATTTTTACTTTAAGAAATAAAAATTAATTAAAATTAGTAGGTACAAATAAAAATTGGATTTGTAAAGTTTACAATTAAATTTTAGGAAATTGTTCGACGCAGTTATTATTCATATTATAATATGTTCTGGATTCATACATAATAATAATTTAATACACTTATACACACATATAGGTAGGTAATGTATTTTACAAACAAGAGAATGCGATATCATTATAACAATAATATAACATTTAAAATATTTAAATTAAATCATTTTGGTTAGTTGTGAAAATGTAATGGGTATGTAATTAAACCTGATGAAATATTTACTTAACATTTTGAATTCATTATTTAACAATATAATTTAATTAAAATATTTTAGGTATTATATTAAACTTTTTATAATGTAATGTTTAATTTATTAAGGATTTTTTTTTAATCATACCGGTCTGTCCAAACAAATGTTGTTTTCGGAAATGTCAAAAAAATCTGTTAGGCACATACCTACTAAAATAAATTAAAAGAAAAATATTGAGCGTTATAAAAATATATAAATTAGGCTTTTTCAGGGTAGGAAACTAGTGTTAGAATTACTAGTAAAATTAGTTTAAAACACTCATAAGATTTCAAATACATATTTAACGCATAAGGGGGGTACCTACCATATTTACTAAACGAAATAACAAGTCTGTGAATTTATTGCCAGTTACTTTTGTGGTATCGAATACCTAGGTAGTAACTAGTAGGTACCACAAATACAGTTTGGTAATTTGAGTGGGTTACCTAATTTATTAGGTACAAGTTTTGTTTTATTTATAATGAGTACCGGAATTCATGATTCTATTTTTGCCAACGTTCTTTTTAGATTTACTTTTATTACGTTTAAAACAGGAATAAAAATATTTCATTGCACCTACATTAAAATTATCGACATTAAAGAAGAGTTTTTAAAAAGTAATACGAGATGAACACTGATTGTGATTAATTTTTATTAAACAAAATCGTTTAATATAGACAATTGTATGTGTATAGGTTCATCGTAGAAGAATAATTGGTTCGTTCTAGACTGTTAATAAAAAAATGTACCTAGTAATAATTATTCGCATCTGTCCGTTAAAACAATAACAATTAGTCATTTGTAAACATGTGTAATTAAGTATTTAGATAGGTAGAGCAATTGCTACAATTTTGAAAATGATTAGGCTGGGAATGTAATAAGATATTATAATGATATTGGAACAAAAATTGTTTATATTATTCAACACTATATATATTGTGAATTCTCAATTAGAGAATGAAGTATTACAGTTAAACGTATAATAATCCATCGCCAGTCGGTTTTTCTGGTTAAAACGTTATCATCGGTTTGATTAAAAATTAAACCTAAATATTATAGAAGTTATAATATTTGTATATTGCTGTGGTCTTGTCAGATAAATCAATAATGAACGTAAACAATGTTTTCTTTTTCTTACACTACACAGAGGCCAGTAGAAGCATAAGCATAATCTGTGGTAGTCAAGGGGGCGATGGGCAACCGCTCCTTCAGATATTTAACCGAGTGGGCAATAGTGTCTTTTTACCTAATAGATTTTTAGTTTTACCACAGATTTCCCCCCCTCCCCCAGAATTTACTCCAGATTACGCCAATGATTAGAAGGTTATATTTTTATCTTGGCCATTCGACATATTTTAATGTCGATATAACGTGGTTATTACATTGTTATTTGTTATACAGGTAGCATTATAATATTATTATAATGATTTATGATGATAATAATATTCGGTAATGTCGCGACGGATGAAGCGGAGAACGTATTCAATTTTTTTCCTTGAATAAAAAGCAGCGAGATTCGCTTTTTCACATTTTCACATTTTCACATTTCGACGGAATCGTCTGCTTCCGTGATCGTGTCCAAGTTGGTCAGGTCGACTACAGACATGGACGGCGGTGGTGGCGGCGACTCTTGCAGGACGCTACCGAACTTGATATCGAAACAGTCGGCGGCCAACGTGGCCGGGCTGACCGCGACATTGGGTTTTCCTCCGGTGGCGATGGCCACGATCTCGGGTTGCGGGTACCCGTTGTGGCCAATGTAATTGGTCATCACAGCCGCGGGTCCGCCACACTCGGCCGCCACGGCACAGCAATTGCGGTGGCGTCGATCGTCGTCATCGTCGTCGTCATCGCAGTCGCAGTCCGACGACGTCCCGAGACGGCCACCGTGGCCACGTTTCGCGTGTCAGGACTTTGCGGCAGCTGTGGTGGCGGCGGCGGTGTTAGAGGCGGTGCCCCGCGTAGACGACAAGGTCAGATCGCTTATACTGCCACCGCAACCGCCGACGCCGCAGTCTTCGCGCTGCTGTTGTTGCGCCGGGCTGACGCCGCCGCAGCAGACGCCACCGCCGTCACTCGTCTGTGCCGTCGCCGGCCGGTACAGCGTCTTGAGTTTGGTGGACACGCCGTGGTGTACGATGTTGAAGCACATGGCCGTGAGCGCCATGCCGGACAGTATGTACACGGAACAGAACCAAACGGTGGCTGTGCCGGTGAGCGTCACGTCCATTGACCGCGAGTTGCCGTAACCAATGGTGCTGAGCAACATGAAGCAGAAGAACACGCAGTCCAGGTACGACTTTCCGCCGGCGTCAAGCCGGTGCAGGACGGCCGCGCCACAACCGATGTACGCCGACATGAACGCGAAGCCGACCAACAGGAGTGGCACGAAACTGGCGCTGTCCGCCGCTGCCGCGGCCAGCTCCGCGGCGGCCACCGACGCTGAATCGGATGCTGCAGCGGCCGCCGATGCGGCACTAGCCGCCGCCCGGTCGGACACCCTCAGGAAGACGCCGTCGTCCGCGTCGCCAGGCCGCACGTAGTACGGTTCGAGCGCGTGGCCGGAGAAGGTTTTCATTTGCATGTCGTATTCCTTCCGCTCGCGCTTCAACTTCATCCTCCGCTCTTTTTCTTCCATCAGCTTCTCGTCATAACAACAATACCCACACTTGGAGCACAGACAACAGCACAGCGACCTGAAAAAGAGTGGAATAAAAAATAACGGTCAAATATAATTTTATAATATCACGCCGTTACGTAACGTTTCAATTCAAATGTTACCTATTGATATATTTATATTTTTTTAATGAAATGGATCACAGATATAGAAATATTATTTATATAGGTACGATAAATGTAATTGACAAAAAATAACAAAATTATGGGAGTCACAGAAATCGCTAACTTAAGACGGGTACCTAAGTAATCGACGGGAAATACCCGCATACGCCAAATCTCATAATTTATAGTATTATTTTATTGTATGTATCAGTTATCAAATCTTATCGTACTCTAAACCTGTATGAACTTAACATATCTACCCATTATAAAATCATATTTTCGTACATTGGAATAGTGACCGATCCGTTGTTTTCTATTCCCTATGAATTTATCCAAACCATGAAATACGACTATCGGACTATGATCATCAAAACTAAGTGCACGATATGGGTTCTCGATGGAATGCCCGAGTAAAATCGGTATTGACTATTGAATACATCGGATTTGGGAATGGAAGCACCTAAAATGTAGGTACTTATTGAGAATTGTATTGCAAGTGGTCGTCGATGTCCAGGCCAAATCCGTTGAACCCGTGTTGTTTTTCAATATAATAATAAGATTAGTAGATGCGAAAGAGTAATCGACTTGGTAATGGAATTAAAAATGGACCTTTCTCAGTCAGATATCACCGAATCTTATATAACACGCAACTTTTTTTTAAACAGAGGGTGGAATATTACGCTTGGCAGTTCACGATTCGTTGGCTTCAAGATTAGAGTGAATCAAGACCTATAATGAGACTTATGGGTAAGACCATTATCAGCCGTGTTCATTTGTGGGGGTTTTTTTTACGACGATTCAATTTGTTTATCAGTTTTGAGCGCATAAAATAAGATTATTTAAAATCGCTCATGACTCGTCGACGTGTGGTGGTAAAAATGTTCCACCTATATTCTATGATAACCAAATAGTTTGATTCCCGCGAGGACATTTTTTTTTGTAGTTACCTACACTCTTAATTGACCCACGAAATTTCCTCTCGAATCACAGTGAGAACGGTGGCATGCGCATGCGCACATCACGATTTACGAAATCGACGAACGCGATCAGCAATAATATAAATAAATCGCCTCTGGCCGGTTGCACGGTGTTCGGTTTGCAGTTATTACGGAATTCGGCAACAATGCGCAATTATTTCGCGACAACAATCACATTTCATCGGGAAATACTCTCCGACCACGATTATTGTTATTATTATTATTCTCCAAAGTATCAAGTTTTTGTGCGGTAATATAATATCGCAGTTAAACGCGAATTCGAAACACAAAGATCGAACTTTTAATCGGTTAAATTATTATTATGGATCTTTCTGTAATCCTCATCGAGTTACGTGCTATTATGTATTGTGATATTATATTATATTAATTTATTTTAAAACAGTCGAAGTGAAAATTCCGTTTTTTTTTCCCAAACGAATCGTCCGTCGTCGAGTGTCGCAGGATTATTCTACTTACAAAGTTTATTTTTACGCTGTAAATATTTGTTACCCGATACAAGCAATCATTACAACTCACTATTATATAGGAAATACGCGTAGGTAGGTACTACGTGCGCTTTCATTATCGTTTATAAAATGAAATTTTGACGGCAAACTAAATTTGACAGTATTTCGCAAGTTAAATGTGTATTAATGTTTGTATAAGTTATATTATATACTATCGATACCTATCCACCTACGATATATTATAGTTTATATTATTATACGTATATAAATATAAGAATACTTGAAATAATTTACACGGGTACTTATCTATTTATATTTAAATTTACCCGGTACTACATACGTAATATTATATAGACATCTGAGTGGAAATCTATGATACATTTAAAATCCATTTTTCTTTCAATTTGAACTTTTTTTTTCCCGATGCAAATAAATAATAGGTATACACACATTTTATGAACATTACAGCTGCACTATCATAAGTTAATGCGAAGTTGTTATACTACACGTATTTTCGTATGTGTTCAAATCATATATCATAAACCACTCTTCAAAAATATTGAACTTTTGTACCTATGCATGCGTATTACATATAGTAAATTTTTGAATATTGAAGTGAAAATGACACGTGAGCGCTATACACACAAGTACTCTAAAATTGGTTACGGGAAAAAATTAAAATAAAATCACTTGTCGATGGATAAAAGTGACAACCGAAAAAGGGAATCACGTTTTTAAGTAACTTCTATATTAAGCTACTTTTTAGAGCTATCGTGAAATGGAAATATTTAAATTTTTCTTTTTCTGTCGACCGATTTTGTTTTTTAATAATGATTGATGTGTGAGATATACATTTTTAGTTAGGTCTAAATGTAAGAAGTGCTTACCCAAGCTCCGAGGATGTGTGATGTAATGTGCACAAACATTATTATTATGAGGCATAATATAGTGTATTTTAATGGAAAAAATATTAAATACCTAGTTTATATTTAACGGAGCTTAAGATGGGATGTTTAATTTGTCATTGGCAACGCTGTGCTAGATCAGCTAATATTTCATGCAATGATATAAAAATAATTATTTAAATGTTTAAAGTCTTCTCCCACTTATCAAAATTGACAAAATCTATTTGAATCTAAATATTTAAAGGGTTTTCATTAGCATTTGCAATTAATTGGAACTTCATCAACATACATTGAATAAATAGTTATATTAATTACCTGGTAAATATTCCTCGGGCACACCACGCCAACAGACCACCAATGCTTGATAAGTACACTAACATCAATGGGATGCCAATCAACGCGTACACCATTGTGACCATTTTACCTATAGCGGTCTTCGGTGTGATGTTTCCGTAGCCTGGAAACAATAACACACAATAATATAATAATATACTAATATACATATACAGTGTATAATAATTATTATTAACCTTCAGAATAAAACATAACCATGTTACTATAATATATTCTAGTATAGACGATTCGGTTGGAAATTGACGTCGTGATAGTGATTTAACGTATTTAAATCAAAAATCAAATTGAAAGGTTCGATGGGAAAGAATAAAAAAAAAAAAAAACACCCAATGTGTCTGAAGTTGTTGTAGAGTTGACGCTTATAATATTCATAATATTCGTATAATATAACTGATAAAATTAGCAAAATACGACTATCTCTGAAAATAACTACGTTGTAGTTTTCGATTGAAATGTTTGTACCTATTCCACATTTAAATCATTCTAGTTGGCAGTAACTATATATACCTACACTTTACAGTCTATAGTATTGTTTCTTCTCTCATATTAGAATAATAATAATGGCTTCCGTCCGGCTTTACGTAGCACTTGACGATAAAAGTTTTGTAATTTCGTACCATTTGATTCTACAGATCCTAAAATAATGGGTTAAACTTTTGCGTTTTGTGCTACTCACGTTTTGGTTTGAAATAACATTCATCTAGGTTCAAATATTAATCCATATTTTATGGAAAGAATATTTAGGTACTATATAGTTAAACGATATTTTTTGTGGTCAACAACTACTCATAATATTATGTCTACAACTGTCTAGTCGCATGAATATAAAATATTTCATATGAAAGTAATGTATATTTTTTACAAACCATTACAATGATATGTATTATTTATTGCAGTAGGCTTATTCAAGTAAAACAATCAAAATGTATTTTTGTCTGTAAGATTTTATTATTATTTGTCTGCAACGGTACACAAATACTAGAATATTATGTTTATTGTGAACAATATTATTATTATTTATTTGAGGGGAAACATTTGTTTTGTAGCAAATAATAATAATATAATATCCTGCATTAAGAATACAAAAGGTATTATGAAGTTTGAAAGTTAGGTAAAAACTAAAAATTATTAATTATTTTATTACCAAATGTATTGAAATAACTATAATAGGTAAATATAACCAGTTAAAAAGTTAGTTTTGATAAAATAATAATTAATAAAATAGGAATTACAACATGTTCTGACTAAACAATTGTTAACAATTTAGTACCTATTTAGTGCATAGTT